ACACCTCAAGAACTAGTACCCTTACGCGTATTCTTTATATGATAAAGTATGTTTGTTTGTTTTGTTTTTTTTGTGAAACGGTGGGCCCAATCCTTCCGGCAAAAAATACGCGTCGCAAAGAAAAAAAGGTTCATGATCTGGTGGTCTGTGTCAAATGGCCCATTAAGAAAAATTTTTAGCGTTCATGTTATTGGTTAATGAAGTGCTTCTTAGTACTAACATATTTAAATTTTATAATTAATGTATTGTTTTATATATAAACTTGATGCGAATCATCAAAAACAACTAAACACACCAGTATTACAATAATAGAAGACACGTGTAGCATTTTACGGTGTTTAAAAAAAATGCTCGACTTGAACTCTCTCTAGGAATAGCCTCCTATAGACTGAGGAAGCCTGGCAGATCGCCACGAGAAGCGGCCGCCATAATTGAAAAGGTGGAGCGGCAGAGAGCGGATGAGAGGACAGCCACAAGAATGGTGCCCCGCTGCGGCGAGACGCCGAAACACATTTCCTCCGAGCGACCAACTCTGTTTCGGGTCATCCCGCTGCAAATCTGTGCGCTGATGTCCAGGTTCCCCGAGAAATGGCTCTTTGATGCTCTTTGGTACCAGATCCTCGTGTTCCAAATCTGCGACAGGATACTCTATGGCTCCGTCGTCGATCTGCCAGGCTTTGTGAGAGTAGAGGAGGCTATGCTCTTGGTTTCAGCGTCTTATCGGCACGCATCTTCGCCCCAGCAATCTGCATGTCGCCCGCAAACGCAAATATATGCACGTGCGCCTTCGCGCATCCCACTTAAAAGAAGCAATATAAGAAAGACTTCAAACAACCACATGAGATTTGCCTTTTTGACGTCGGTGCCAGTCTGAAAACGCGCCTTTACTCACCTTTACGTGCAATGCGTGGCAGCGCCCACACGTTGCGCGGTTGTACCCTGCGGTGAGGGATAGGTCGCGCGGAGATGCCCTTTGATAAGAAGCCAAAACAAAGATACATGTCTAAACTGAGCACTCTTCCTGAACGACGTCAAATGCTGCGCGTGCCTTATATCATCGCAAAATCGATGGATCTAATCGTTTTGGTTTATTCCCCTTACGTTTTAATTCAAAGCGTACCGTTATATAAATGATTAAAATACATAGGTGTTAAAACGTAATTAATAACCCGATTATACTGAACGCTAATAATTTTATTTGGGAACCCTTGGCACAGACCACTACGGCATCACCCTTTTTTTACTGTTCAATGCGTAGTTTTCCCAGGAGCGTTTGGGCCAACGTTTGCCTCGACATCCTGTGTAATAATTTTACTGCGAATGCAATATGACCCCTAAAACCAACTTTTAAAAATTTAATGAGCAAAATTTTAGTAAAATAGCTCACTCATCGCGATGAATATTCACTAATCAAAAGACCGCCGAGCTTGATAGATACATGTTACTTTACCTTAGCTTAAACTCTCTGAACTAAAATCAAACACTCATGTAATAAAATGTATGGAAGACTGCTCTTTTCCTTTGATGTTGAATTCTTCTGAATATATGAACCTCTTAATATGTACGAATTACAATATTTGATCAGTTCATTCTTGAATTTCCGGTTATCCCAAAATTTGCACCTTACGAATATAAAGTGCACATTTTGTGCACTTTAGAACTGTAATGTGCACGGAATATTACATATGAAGTGCACACTAACCGAATGTTACATTTGTAGCCTCTTTTATTCTCTGCCCCATGAGACCCTTTTAATACAGTAAAACTATGCAGCAAAACTAATGGTAAGACGGCCTTCCGAAACACCTACGAGATTAGCGTTAAAGGTGTACTCCGCCGATTTTTGAGCTACCTCAACTAACTATATTTTCTCACTCCCCGGCCTTTGCCCTTTCTGATATGCTATTTAGTATCCTGAAATTCGTAATAGTTATTGCGAAATCGGCAAATGAAAATGATGCCCGCCCTTTTCAGGGCCGTGACGTCACTGGAAGGTTAGCTTGCCAGTCGGGCGAGTAGTCTAAAAAATAGAATATGCCAATCATTTGTTCCGTGCTGGAGCGCGGGGACTGGAGCGAGCTTCCAAATCATTCATTTGACACCATGAAACTGCTTCGAATCAGTGGGGAACAAATTCTACAGTCCAAAGAGTGAACCCCTGCACTTCAAATGACGTCACTTTTTCATTGTTGCCACTAGAGACTTTCAGTTTGAAAAACACGGTGAGGAGCAAAATTGTAAATTCAATAACTTCGTGAAAAAAAATTATTTTGACCTAATATTTGGGATACTATTTTCGCGAGGTATATGGCGAGGAATATGTGGAAAAAGAAGGCATCTGTGTGGGCGGCGGGTTGCTCCTGTCGTTGGCGATATTTTCTTAACTCATTGCGACAATGCTATTTTTGAGATGCTGGGGGGAGACGAGATCTTCAAGGTGTTTTGATACGTAGATTACTGCTTATTCATTGCTCTCCCACATAATGAGCTCTCGGACGCAGTTACAGCCTATTTGTTAAGCATTTTTTACGGTTTGCGCTCATAGATTAGAATTTACGCGTAAAACACTTTGGAGGGAAGAATCCAATTTTTGGATTTAAAACTTGAATTCTCGCGTGAGTACGTTCGTTGGGCCTATGAACCCCGCTTAAAAAAAGCTGTGCTGCCATACTACTCGGCCCACTCCAAACTGGTAAAAAGAGGCATCGAAACTTCGTGCCTCGGAGCCTCTTTGGCGAAATCAAATCCTGATGAAATAGGAAGCAGCTTCCAGACACAGGTCGACCGACTCTTGAGTGCGGGTTTCCCACACCACACGTTGATTGACGTTGCAGAAGGCCTAATAAAGAAGCTCATGGGCGCCGACAAGAGCCCCCGAGAGCACTTGAGGCAAAGGCCGGAAATAATTCTTTACATACATACCTGGCCTCACAATTTAAAAGAAGTTGCTTGGCCAGCGCCGCTATGCCGCGCGCGCTGGCCAAGTAGGCAGGGCGCGCGTGGCCTAATGTTGTTGCGAGATCAGAATAATGCATTTTTGCGTACAGTCCTCCAAAACCTGTTGCATGATTATCTGCCCGATTTTATTATATCGTCTAGCAACCAAAGTTGTGTCAGTGTTCGTGGATTTATGCGAGAAATAGTTTTATCTTTTCGGATGCTAAAGGTTCGTTTTTCAATGGAGTACCTATGTTCAGTTAGTCGTAAAAGGTTGTATAAAGACTTGGTAGATGTTCTTTTGCCTGTACCCCTCTATAGGTCCCTGTATTATGACTGACCAGGGAAGGATGTCTTGAAGAGAGTGAAGAAAATGCCGGTTAAGCCGTCTATCAAGTCCTTTTTCTTTCAATTACATTGTGGTGTGCTTCCTGTTAAGCCATGGCTCGAGGAGAGAGGTCTTTTTGTCCCATGGTCGGTTAACTGTCTGTTGTGTAAGAAACAAGAAACGATAGAACATGTTTTTCTGGAGTGTTGGGACGCGGTCTTTCTATGGGACATACTTCAGCGAACGTTGAAGAAAGACCTCCCCCTCGATCCATACGGCATACGTTTTTTACCGCTGGAGAACGAAGGCGGGGTTCCGTACGATTTGTTCATGCTCCTCGGCCTCCACAGCCTCTGGAGGACGAGGACAGAAGTGAACAACGCAGATGTCAAGATATGCCCCGCTGGAGACCATTTAATTGAAAGTGCCGCGTATATACGCGAAGTGTATCGCGCTTTGCAAGAGCCCCCCGACTGGGTATCTTTGCTAGATGAATTGGTCAATGTAAAACGTTTTTAGATGTAACCGCGGGGCCTCTCAGAGGTTCACGCGCTTTTAACATTTTCATATATGTGTGTTTTGTTTTTTTGTTATAGCGTTTCAATGCCTAACCAGGCAATAAAGAAAAAAAAAAAAGCGCGCGTGGCCTAATGGTTATCGCGCCTGACTCCCACGCGAAAAGCTAGGGTTCGAATCCTGGGAGCGACGTGTGTTTTGTTTATTCCTGTAATTTAGTGTTCTGGAGAATTCGAGAATCGTGTTGCTTGTTCCAGGCCCGAATGTTCCACGCGTCGAAGTTTCTACGCCGATTATTCCAGAAGACCACGCATGTACATAAGGGGCTCCGCGTGGCGAGCGGACTCAGTTTCGCCCCAGCGTTCGACTCTGCTGCTACGCCGACTTCGACGCCCGCGACGCTCCGTTATTATCTTTTGTACCCTTTTATTTTTGGCACAAGTTCGCCACATTAAACGTTTATTTATTCCTGTTTATTTCTTGTTTATTAGTCACCACCCGTGACAATATGATGCCTCAGATATTGTTTTCTGCTCCAAAAAAGCTATCTGGTTTGTTCCGAAAAATAAACGCCCCTCATTTGGCGAGTGATGGCCGCAAGAAAAAACTCAAAAACAAATTTGTGGAATGCTTCGCCTATGTGTTGGATGGCATTCCACTTACTTGCGGCCGCTCTTACGTGGGCCAAACTGGCGATGCGTCAATGACCGTGCAAGGAAGCATGCTGGTGTCAACAAACAGTCATTCTCAGGCCACTTGGTGGTGTATAGCAATAGATGCGAGTGCACTACACTTTTTCGCAGATTAAGATCCTCGGAAGGCATATGAATAAGGCAACAAGAGAGATACGGGAAGCCTTTAAAATAAAAACAAGCGGCACAAGCAAGTGTGCCAGCGAGCCTTCATTGGCCCTTCTTGATAAAGAATTTGAGTTTTTGCAGAAAGAGTGCAGCCTAGGGTAATAGCGTGGTGTGTTACGAACCGTATAGAAGTGTGGATTTTTCAATTTACACTATCATTTGCGAATACGCCAACGTGTTATCTCTTGTTCCCCTTGTTCATGTCTCTAAGGCGTTCAGTTCAGTTATAAAGAGCCTTGAGGGCGTAGTGTGTAATCATCTTTTGATGTAATAATTTTAATTTTTAATTGATGATATGTGAAAACACCTTACACCTGTAAAAATTGAAAACAATTTGAATGCACTTTTTTTTTGTGCAGGTGGAGCTTTATTTACGGAAGTCAGAATGTCCGAAAGTCAATTTAGTTCTCACTGGTGTAAACGAAACAACGGTATGTTCACCATAATCAGAGGATGGGCGTCTTTTAGCATGCCTGTCTGTTCATTTTCTTGATATTTGTAATTACAAGTTTGCTTTGAGCAAATATGAAACATTTACTGTGCGCATATTTCAATGTTACAATACGTTTATGTCAAGGTTAAGTGGGGTAAATTAAAGGGACCTTTTGGAATAATGACTTCAGTTTACAGTTAACATGTAGGCCTTCAAAACATGTCTCAATACTAGTGCCATTGAACAATAGTCGGATAAGCAATTTGGTAGATAATACTAAATAAGCGATTTAGTTGCAGAGGATAGTGATTGTGAAATTTCGGCTCAAATCGGATTCGTATCAGGTTGTGCAAATAGTAGTTACAAATAAGAATGTCCAATCAAGTATTGATTACCGAATCTTCTAATTTAATGGCACAAGAACAAAACAAAAAGCTTCAGGTACAACAAATGACGCCTATAATTATATTATTCTGTAAGGACTGCGGAAAGAGCGTCTAGCCGGAAATAGAAATGACGTTGGTAACCGCTTTCAACTACCAAAGATGTGAGACGCAGCTGAAGGATGTCAGTGCATTCACGCGAGAATATGTAGTGTTTTTAATGAACTGACCACTGACGTTCAAGAGCAAAGCCAAACCTCATCACTCGCTGCCTGCGAGTGCAAGGCTTTAGTAGAAGAGTAGGACTAAATTGATAGTTTCCTTCTTGTTTTGTTAATTATGTACTGTTGTATGGTCGGTAATTATGAAATGAGTTTGTGTAGCGTACAGATCTGTCAACAGTTATCTGGATTATTAATTTATGAATCATAATATTTTTATTAAATATTAATATTACTCTATTGCTGTGAAAAATTAAATCAAGGCGTATTAAATTAAAATTCTAATTACAACAACAGTACAAAGAAACCAACTCATACGGATTAAAACAACGCCAAGAGCATGCCACCCAGAATACATATGTACAAAAATTGTACAATGCGCTTTGCGAGAAGCACTTCTTTCTTGAAGACAAAACCATCGATGCTCCAAGCTCGGGTGGCGAGACGCGCGTGCCGAGGGCGACGCCGGTCAATTCCCTCGGGGGAACGGCGGCAGCACGAGCTCAGGCCGGGTGGCCCTCCGAGAAGGCGGCGGGACCAAGCGGTGACCGATGGGTGCCGCTGAAACCGGAAAGCGGGTTCCGTCCCGTGGCGCTAAAGGGGGGGGGGCATGTAGATGTGATACGGGTGGGCCCCGAGAGGCACTGGTCGCCACTCCCCGAACATCTGGTACACGTGCTGGTACTTGGGCTTGCCGGGGCTAAGCGGGTTCAAAAGATTGGTTCAGGCCACGGCGGGCGCCTGGCCTGGCTGCAAGTAAGCCGGGAGTGGGTAAGCCGCGTGTGGCCTACCGGCCTTCGGCCCATTTGGGCCCAGGCTCTCTCACACCACCACGGCGGAGGCCTGGACCCTGCCCCCGGTATGGTGGTGGGCGGGGGGCGGCGACAGGAACTGTTCCCGCACGTACATGGGCGGGTGCTGCTGGGGGGTCAGGTAGGGTTGTCTAATGCTGCTGCCTGCCCCGTACACTGTGGGCCGGAAGTGCTTGCGGCGAAAGGGGGCGTCCTACATTCGCTATACGGCATCTGAAAGCGTGTTCGACCGGTGCGCTTAATTTCTATACCGCCCACGTAGCGAAGGTGTTCCCCTCACGGTTGGTCGTCGTGCGTCGAACATCGCAATCCAGGCGGTTAGTTGCAGAAGCTCCGGCAAAAGAAATGAGTAAACGCACAAGTCGCCGTCTTCGGCAAATAAGAAACGAACTACTTTTTTTCAAAACGGGTAGTCATTCAAGTGATCTCCCCGCAGACGGGATTGAGATCTATAGTCGGTTACAAGTCAAGAAGTTAACAGAAGATCCTCCCGTAAGCGTGATGCGCCAGTTTCATATCTCTCCGCAATAGAAAGAAGGGTTCACTAGAAATTCTCCTTGTTCCTCTTGAATGAATTCCAACTTGTCTCCGATCCCACCTTTTAAGAAAGCGACCTTTGTATTCATTTCAGGGGTAACTGAGCCCCTGAAAGCAGCCTTTGTATCCTTTGGAGGGGGAAGCTAATCCCCGAAAGTCGTATTTGTTTCCATCAGAGGGAGAAAACTCTAATCTCCCTCTCGTAGCTTCCACAATGCTAAGTCAAAGTCGAAAGATAAAGCAATAATGTACAAAAGGCAAGACCCTCCTCGCGCGTTGGCCGCGACGTCACGGAAACGATGGGACGCTATTGGATATGGAGGTGGAGGAGGGATGTATGATTCCCTTTGAGGGGCATTTGCCGCTACCTTCTTAACCTGTAACCGACTATAGCTATATCCCCTTCGACTACAGTCCCCATACAGGCAGCATTCTTATTATAAGCTAATTTTGTTATGCTGTTCAAAATGTTTATTCATTTGGAAACTCGAATAGTACAAATCTGAGCGCCGAATGGAATTCTTCATGCTATTGCCATTAAATTCAACTTCAAAACTCCGATATTCGCACACCCATTTAGTCGAATGTAATTGAGGTAACGACGAAAGTACTGCCTACAACTTATTTTTTTCAACTTAAGTGTAAGCGAGGCACGTAAACAAATGCAGGGTTACCTCGAAACAATAAAAATTTACGTATGCACCTATATCTGAAAACTTCTCATAAAATAATGGAAATATAATGTCTGCCCTTAGAATTATATACATTACACAGGGATAGCTAAACTAAGCCTGTGCTTTGATGTATTTCAGGGAGAAGAGGAGTCTCGCTTTGAGAAAACGGATAACGAATCAAGTGTAAAGCACCTTGACCCAACATTTACACTGGGATTGTTCCAGCATTGGGTTAAAAAAAATATAGGTTTTAATAATGATGTCATTGTATTCTTGCTAACCAGGTAACGAAGAAGTTCTTTGGGTATTTTGTCGGAATTGAATGTTAGCAAATAATGAAGTCTTCTTTATTCCTTAAAAAAAGCATCATCTTCGAAGATAACATTGGGAATGGAATTAGTCCGAATGGTAAGTTATGTTGCAGCATATATATCTAGCGGTTGCAATAATATCTTTTTAAAATAGAGAAATTATTTCCTGAGTACACATCGTGGAGAATGCTAGTCCTGAGAATTTTTGTCGAATTTACACAAGCCATACGTAGACGTCGGCGCGCGCATGTCTATCAGAAATGGGACAAATTTTCGCTCAGGTCCTTTGTACCTGATATTTACTGATAATTGCTTGCGTTTTCTTTACGGTGTCCTTACTGCTCGTCATTCCTTCTCGGACTGACGGGCAGTAAGAATTTGTGCGGGAGCTGCTCCGCTCCCTTCTACGGAAGGCAGCAGTTTTTCGCTAGCTACGGGACCTGCAAGCGAAGATTTCACTGCAAATGCACGAACGTTGGGGAAGGGGATTACGACCTACTCATGGTGAACGGAACCAGCAGCTAAAAGTTCTCTACGTGTGTCAAGCGCCTGGGCTCGTAAGAAGCGAAGGTTTTGGTGACGTCTATTCGTCTACTTTAATCGAAGAAATCATTTCGCACTGCAACAATGAATCGCCCGTTACCGAGGCCAATCTTCAGAAGCTCGTCGCGCAGCTTTGAAACAAAATTGACAAACAGGCGAACGATGCATTACGACTGCAGCTATCTCAAAACACGAACCTCCTGCGAAAGCATGTGCACCTTTGGAAGTGCCAGGTTTGCCAGCGAGACGATCAAGTAACTTCGCTGCTGCGTTGAAAATTCCGAGCAAGTCTACAACAAGCACCGGTGCTGGTAGTATCGGCAGACAATCAACTAAAGCCCTTCGTTTTCCGCAACGCTCAAATTCGACAAGGCCACTCAACCAGACACCGAGAGGGATGACGTAGACGGCAAAGGGTTCCAGACAGACATACGAAAGGAAAGGGTCAATCTTGCCGAAGGAGGAAACACCGTCAGCAAGCTGAGCTCCGTGCCACGTCAGCCAAGTCGTCGAGAGGTCTTCATTTCCCGAATGAATCTACTTACTACTGAATATGACATTGCGGAATTCCTGACTGGTGTTCACAAAGGCAAGTCGACGAAGTGCACCGAGCTTCCAACCAAGCATGACAGTTATGCGTCTTTTCACGTATCAGTTGAATACGATGACTTTGATGAAGTTAACAGACCTGACATTTGGCCGACAAAGTACCGTTTTCGCCCCTTTGTCGGCATTCTTAAAGAAGTCTTGGCCACTTCGGTTTATCAGCGTCAAACAGTGCAGTGTAGCTGATTACTGTAGCTTAGTATAGGTTGAATATTTGTTTTAGGTATTCCAGGTATTGTATAAATTGTTATACTAAAATTATTTCGACGTGATTTAATAGTATTCTTCTTTATATGGCTGTGCTATATTTCTCAACTTGCTCTTCGGTACAAATATACTGAACACAAATTTCGTATAAAAGTTGGGAATCGCGGAAAGCTTCCTTGGACACTAAAATATTATCTATGGAAAGCTCAGCTTGATAAACACCATGTCACAATGCCGAATTCGTCTGTTCAATTACTTTTACACAGAAAGACAAGTTTTTCCTGAAATTTGCTTTGTCGTAGCACTCATGTAGAAGTGCACGTTTTATTTGGTGCTATTGCAGATTATCTGCAATGTTAGCGTGCATTCGTAAAAAATAAAAATAAAAATAGAAAAACAAGTATTCGCGTTAGAACGTTTTTTTTTTTTTTTTTTTTTTTTTTGGCATAGTAAAGGCTTGACCACACTAGCGTGAACGGCGCCGCCGTCCGGCGTCCCAACGCGAGGAGTCCACATTGGCCTCCGTTTTGCAGGCGTCACGTGACAGCACTGGATCCCGCGATCGCGCCTCCCGTCGGATTTCCCGCTCTTTCGTCGTCTGCTCTTCGTTAGATTCTTCCGTTCCGCACTCGCTGTCTAGACGGTAGGAGTTCATATTGACCTGGTGATCAGCGTGAATGTGATTATCCTAGCCTGCTCGCTGATCTTGCGACGTCGCCGCGCTCTGAAGGGAAGGAGGCGCAGGTTTTGGGTCCGGCCGAGTTGGTTCTACCGAAACACCGAAGGACAGGACAGCTCTGGCGCGCCGCCGGGGCTTTGCTGCCCCGGCGGCGCGCCAGAGATGAAGGCTACTCTCGAAAGTGTCACCAAATCAACACGACATCCGTCACAACAGAGACGACATGCAACAAGTGCCACGGAGAAACTCACTTGTAATTCCGAATTCCTCTCCTATAATTTCCCAGCGGTGAGTTTCAAGGAACCGCTCCGTAGGGGAAGGCATCGGGGGGAAATAGGGGGAGCAGACGACACGAAACACGTCCTTCGCTTCGAGACGCGCCGAGGACCGGCTTGAGCGTTGCCATGGCATCGCGACGTCACAATCTACGCCACCTCCCATTGGCTCCTATCTTCTGCGGCGTGCGGCGCTAAGCTCTGAACCGCGCAAGGAGCGGTTGGGTGTGCGGCGCCGCACGTCGTGACGTTGAAGCCGAAAACTGGTTTCCGCCGGCAACCGGCAGCGACGACCGTCGCGCCGCAGGCCTCCGAAACGCCAATGTGGTCGTGCCTTAAATCATTGTGAAACATTTTCTAAACGCACTTGATATATGTGTATGTTAATATTACGTGTCGCTTAGTGACTAAAAAATTATGTCATAACCTGGGACACCGGCCTTTTTGTGGTGTCGCGGCTGTCCAGAGCCTAATCTATTATTATTAATATTATTATTATTATTATTATTATTATTATTATTATTATTATTATTATTATTATTATTATTATTATTATTATGGTGTTCTTAAAAAACGCGTTGTTTTCTTCGGATGTACAGTTATCGTTCAAGTCAGCGGAGACAATAGCACTGTGTATCTTTACTTCTGTCTTTGAAATCTACTTACTTGCCTTTTATAGACCGCCTTCTGGAAAAATTTCCGAATTTATCTTTGACCTGCATAAAGGCCTACAAACTTTGCCGAATCATGCATCGCTGTGCCTTGTAGGCGATTTTAACATCGACCTTTTGAAAATTTCCAAATCTTTGGTTTGTGAATATCTTACTCTTTTGGCCGATCACGGTATTGAACCTCTGATACTTGCACCCACAAGGGAAGAAATTTTGGGAGACAAGTTAGTGATCTTCATCCACTACAACAAATGCGGCAGTTATATCACACAAACTAGCGGACCATTACTTTGTAGCCTGCCACTTGGAATTTTCGGTTTGCGCTTCAGAACCAATCCCCAAAAAGATTCGTCGTCTTGAACTTGTAGATAAAAAAAAATTCGATCACTTAATATCTACTCATGCTTGGTATACTTTTCAACGATCTGTAGCTCAATATGACATCTACTCATCCTTTGTGCTACTAATCAAGGAGTTCTCGCAAGCTTCAAAAAGGGTTGTTATGCTAAAGCAAAGGAAAACAAATATCCGCTGGCTAAATACCGAAATACTGTCTGCTATAAAACTTAAGGAATTGACCTGGAAAAGATGTCGCCGCTCGCCTCATAACACCAGCCTACGTGACGACTTCAGAACATTACGGAACAGAGTGAGTGCGCTTATTAGATCTGCGAAGCGGCTCTATTTTCAGAAGCAATTCACTGACTCTCGATGCAACTCAATTAAAACCTGGTCTTTAATTAACGAATTGCGCGGAGCTACATCGCCTCGTTTAAAAGCAAACAATATCAATGGTGTTTTTGGACATAGTGCGCAAGCTACGGCCAATATCTTTAACAACTTCTTCCCCTCCTTCTCGGCCAGAGCACGCTCAAATGCCACACCGTCATCTTTTCCAAATTCGAATTTAACTTCCGCATTTCTCCCTAAAATGTCCATTAATGATTTGGAGTCGATCATATTAGAGCTCAAACCTAATAAAGCTCCAGGTCACGATAATATATGTCTTATTGATCTTCGCAGAAATTTAAGGTACATACAGGACACACTTCTTATGTTTAACGAAATAATCGAGACTGGGTCTATTCCAAATGAAATGAAAACTGCCATTGTAAAACCGCTTTACAAGGGAGGGCAACGAGATAAAGTAGAAAACTATCGACCAATATCTATTCTATCATGCCTAGTTCAAATATTGGAAAAATTTATTTATAGAACCATGGCTTCTTTCGTTGATAAATATAACATAATAGCTTCTCCTCAATATGGTTTTATTCCAGGACGGGGTACACAAGCACTGCTCGAAACACTCTCTGACAACCTAAATTTAGGTTTTGAACACAACCTGTTTAGCTGTGCATGCTTCCTCGACGTTGTGAAGGCGTTCGACACTGTGCGCCATTCGATTTTGGTACAAAAACGTTCTTCTGTTGGTTTCCGGGGACCTTTCCTGTGTCTATTACAAAATTTTCTGCAAGATCGATCCCAAGTGGTTTCCGATCGACGGTGTATACAGTGCCAAAGTTTTCTTAAAAGCGGGTGTTCCTCAAGGTTCAGTTCTTTCTCCTCTTCTATTTAATATATATGTGAATGATATGTCTAGCATGGTATCAAACTGTACCCTTTTTCAATATGCTGATGATACACTCCTACTAACGAGTCATCGGTCTTATCATACAGCAATACAAATGCTTCAGGAATGTACACATAAACTCATGGAATGGTTTGAAATTAATCTTATAAACATAAATATCTCCAAAACAAAGCTTGCCTGCTTTCGCAATCCTCTAAAAGTTGTGGTTCTAAATATTCCTTTTCTTCTTCACACATCACACTGTGTAGGATGTCATTGCAGTCCAATTCCTTACTCAGGAATTGGACTACAATCAAAGTGGATGCCTAAAATACTTAGGCATCCACTTCGATTCGGACCTTTCATGGAATTCCCATCTGACAATAGCATGTTCAAAACTAAGAAGCGTCCTATGCTTACTCTACAAGATTAAGACGTTTTTACCTTTCGGAATTCGCAAGCTCTTAGCCTACTCTTTAGGATATAGTATACTTCGGTATGGCATTACAGTTTTCGGCCAATGTTCTGGATTATGGCATAAGAAAGTAAATAATATCTTAAAAAGTATTGTACGAGAGGTTAATAACAAACCTTCAACCTCAAACGTGAATCTTTTTCAGGCCTTATCTATGCCCACCTTCGAATCACTGTTTTTGGAATCAGTTATACTAAGTCACTATTGGACAAAGGATTTTAAAGCACCTCGACCTAATTCACGAGAACTGAGAACGGTTTCACGGTTTCTTGTTCCAGTATATTACACCCGCTATATCAAGAACCTGCGATCTTTTTATGTCCCTCAGATATTCAATTCTTTACCTTCCGAATTCTTCGACTTCACATCCAAAAAGAAACTCAAAAAAGCGCTCCGCCATCTTTTATCTACCAACGAGGCCCTGTAATCCGTCACCATTTTATTTCACAATTCCTTTTCAGTTCTATAAAGAATTTTGAACACCAGATTTTATTATTTTTATTTTATTTGGTTTATGTTTGAGCAAATCAACACGACTTACAACACCCTGTCCTTCTGCTTCAAGAACCACAACACCAAGAACATAACATCTATCAAGACCTTCTTCAATGGTGACAATGACCGGCTTGCGTGTTTGTGCATATGTGTAGGTGCGTGTATACGTGTTTTCCCTTGAGTCTAAGTGTAATAAGTGTCACAAATGTTATTGGAACTGACTCAAACTTTTTCTTTAGTACGTGGCATAGTTATTTTTGAGGCCACTGCAGATAGGTTCAGTCATACAAGCCCCGGATGGCTTTGACGAACCTGACTTGTGACGTGGACATGCTAGTTTTATTAAATAAATTTATTATTATTATTATTAATATTATTATTAATATTATTATTATTCTTTCCTAAATCAACCAAAAACATGATAGCTAAAGCGAGAGCGTACAGTATTATAAGGCATGGTATAACAATCTGGGCATGGGTCTGTGATATGGTGTCGAAAAATAGATACAGTTTTGAAAGGAATTTTTTAAGAGCATTGTCCACGGTCCAGTGTCACAAACTGAAAAAAAATTGGTTTGCGTTATTTAATACTTTATTGGTTCACACTGTTATACTGAAATGTTTTTAGAATGATAGGTATGAAGAACCTCCACATACTGTCTAGATCACTTCGTCGGAACGAACGCTTAAAATGCCTTGTAACACCCCGAACAATGGGAAACAAGTTCGAAATTTTTATATTACTTCAACCTTCAATGACCATCCGGACAACATACATGGTGCGCACTCTCTAGAAAAACTCAGGCAGGTGCTCCAAGATCTTATTAAAACAACATAACTATGCTGAGTAAGTGCGAATATGTGTCCGTGTTTTTGTTTACGTTATCATTAATTGCATAAAAGTGTAGACATTCAAGCTATGCGCGTGTTTTTATTTTCATCATATTTTATTGCGTTACACTGTAATCATAGCATGACGAGCTAGTTAGTGTTCGTTTGTGCGGGCATTGTGATTAATACTTGCATGCTGATGTCCCACAAGCCCTTACTGCCTTTCACAGACCCTTGCCCCTGCCTGAAGAACTATCAGCACAAATAAATAAATAAATATATTATTATTACTATTATTATTATTATTATTATTACTACTGTCTGCTGTTTAATGTATAGTTTAAAGTGTTTTGTACCTTTATCTATAAGAACAAACATTATGCATGCCCTGGCGTACATTTTACTGAGGTATAGCATCACAGTCTCCTTCAATTGTCCTCTTCTATGGCACACACGAATTGACCGCATCTTGCGTGGCCTTCTAAAGAGCGTTGCTTACCGAACAGAATACTCATCGAGTGATAACTTGTTCGCCTCGCTTGAACTACCGTCGATCTACTCTTTATTTCTACAAACGGTCATCTGGAAAGACTTCTGGGGGAGCGAGTTTAAAATCATTTCGACACCACTCCGTAAGTTTCCAGCAGCTCAAGGTTCTCAGACCCCAACAGCGAGATCTCGCTATGGTGAAAGTATGCGCGAATATTCTGTGCCAAACGTTGTCAACAGTCTTCCATACTCCTTGCTTTCCCTTGCTTCTAACAAAACACTGAAGAAAAGTCAAAGATCTTTGTTTTCTGACGTGTTGGGAGAGCCATCATGATAGCAATGGGAAGCTATATTCTGCTTCTTTTTATTTTCACTTCTACACACAAGCTTGTTGCTTGGTTCCACACTTTTCCAAAATTTCAGACCTATTTTTTTTTCTTTGCCATTGCACCGATATTGTTTCTCTTTTTTTTTTTAGCTAACGCAGGCTTTTTTGTTATGCTTTTTCCCGAAATGTTACTGTTCACTGAAGGCTTCTTCGAACCTTGGGACCTGTGTCGCGGAAAAACGCAAACAAATGTGTGCGTGCTTTTCTTGATATATTTCTTTTCTGGTACGGTTACGATTGCTAACTCTTCTCAGCCACATCTTCGAGCAGCACTTTCCTGTTCGCTGTGGTGCTCTGCTTATGCCAACGTGCGCGCCTGTGTGCATTTTGTATTTACTTTATTTTTATAGTGTAACTTTTCCACCTTCCATACTCTGCCTCCAACGGAACTGTAACCTTTCCGTACTCGGTTTTTTTTTTAATTTTGTTTATTGAGCTGCATTTCTTAGTCATCTTTCCTTTTTTCTTTGGGTAATCTCTGGTCCTGGTCTAACACGCCCTAACTGGCGTCGACCAGTCCATCTACTGTGCCAGATCTGCATTCCTTAATAAATATTATTATTATTATTTTGATCATTATTATTAACCTTGCTTCACGAGCGTATGGCAAAACAAAATATGTCACCAAAGATCTAAGAGTAAAAGTGGCGGTTTCAGTTGTGTGATCCAACAGGCTGCTCTAATCGGGGCTGGTCTGGCTAACATGGGCTGTTCTTGGTTTGTCTAAGTGATGTTAAACAAAAGACGCACAATCCCGACACTTGAAAACAAATAAAAAACATATTAGCGAGGCTTGAGGATACCGCTTTCATATTTATACATGTGGGGCAGCCAATGGCTCTACCGAATAGATTAGATTCACTGCATCATTCCTTCTTACATAGCACAATTAATTGACACAAAAGGAAGTTGAGAGACGTAATAATAAATCACTTCTGAAGCTAATCGACCAAATGCCCAGCGTAAAAAAGACTCTTGCGAATTCAACAGCACGCAAACTCAATCCCTGCGCAGTTTAATGACAGCTGACTGCATGTTCTACTACAGCAATAGGAATTTACACCCCCACGTTTGTATAAAGTAACCGTTGCTTGTTATTTGGGAATTTTACAAAAACATGTAGTTCACTAAATTAAGTTTAGTGTACGCTGTATTTCAAAATACATTCAGCTGAAACATTTGAAAAATAGGTAGAAATGGCAATGTCTAGTACACAGTTACTAATGATAACCAGACAAAGCAGGAACAAAAGTGCCGGAACGACGTAACAGCAATCGTCCAGAACTTTGTCATGTGCAAGTCCCTACTTCTTAGCACGGCTAAATACCTAGACTAAACGAGTTCGCCGACATGAACAGTTAGAATTCAATAACATACAAGTTTTTATTGGTATATGTATTTTTAAACATATCCAGGTGTGCTTTTATTTTCTACTTAGTTTTCTTTTTAACCAGTTTGTGTGCAAACATCATTTTTATTCGGGGCGATTTTACCATAGCTGTTCAAGCTCAAGTATCAAGTTCTTTTTTCTAATAATTAGTCGCACTTATTTCACAGTTGTTCTCAGTTTTACACAAAATCATAGAGTTTATTTATGTCGAGTTCATAGGATAGGATTTCCGTAACGCGTGTGGAAAGTCGTCCACGTCAACACTTTAACAACTTTTATACATAAGGAACCAATGCGGATTACAGTTTATTATGAGGTGCGATGTGCTTTTAATTTATTACAATTTATTTGCAGGCTATTCCTATTTCAACGATATCTGCTCTTTAGGCGTTGGGCTTGCCCGTGACTCAGGTGTTATGTTTGACGGAGCGTTATCTGTGGCACAACAAATAGCACATATGTAAGTGTCTTCGCTTTAAAACAAAATATATGTTTGCATATCACCTTACAATACCGTATTTTCTGGTGTATTTTCTTCCAAAATTTTCGGCAGTGCGTTTTGTACACAGGTCCCTCTTGTATACTAATTTTTACTTAGAAACTTGCGAAAAGTGTGTGTGTGTGTGTGGGGGGGGGGGGGGTTCCGTCTTATACACCGTAAAATACGTTACTTAATTGTTAATAGGGAATGTCTTCCTACATGATTGCTTTTGCTGTTTGCTCTCCAGCTGTCTCAGCCTTGTGTTTCGCTCAATTTGAGCGGAATGATAATTACGTAAAAAATAAAAAAAACGCTGCCAAGAGAATTGGCCATAAACAGGCAGTTTTTTCACGAGCTTATAATAAGGAATTTGCAGAAAAAAATACGAGTAAGGCGGTGAATGACTTCAAGAAAATGGAGGTAGATTTTGTTTTCTGCTTTATTTTGTAAAAGCGTTTGATCACGTATCGCATCCGAGGCTATTGTGAAATCTTAGTCTCATTTTAAAGGACAATAAGATTATAAATTTGTTGAACGTAGTCATTGACCGAATCTACCAAGGTTCTAATTTTGTCGAATTGGGGAATTCATTAACTGTAAGAGGAAAACTCGGCAAGAATTTGACAGGCCTCCGTACACGCGGCAGCAAAAACAGAGCGACGGAAGAAATAGCCAATAATTCGGCTGATTATTCGGCATCGCGAAACGATGGTACGCGAAGTGTAATTGCCAATAAAATACAAACTTGAAATTCATGGTAATAGCATGGTTTGTTAGGGGATGCGGCGGCTGAAGAGCGTAACAGGTAGGAGTGCGCGGAGCAATGGTTCCCTCTGCACAAATCGAGAACCCTGGGCTCGATCCCCGCATCTGCTCGTTTAGGTCTGGATTACCAGCGTACCGGCATGCGTTCCTATACCCCTACTGCGCGATGCACACTAAAGGCTTTAGGCTGGCACTGGTAGTTCTCTGGCGAAGTTTCTCGCTTACAGCGGAGACAGGCGCCTCCTAGCCACACTAACTTCCCGGCGTTCAAATTTGCATATCGCAAATTGCTTCCTACAGCACGCTTTTAACTTCTGGGACTATGCGGAGAGCAACTCTTCTGCTTCTTGCGCAGGAGTTGTGGTGACGTCAAAGGCACGCCGAACTCTGATTGGCTCTCACTGAAGGATAGTGGGTAGTACTCAAAGCAAGCTGCCTCGACGTCTACTCACTATCCTTCATTCAGAACCTATCGGAGCTTGGCTTTCTGACATCACCACAACCCCCGACAAAAAAGCTGACGAACTTGCGCTCCGAATAGTGTTCGGAAATGTTTTATGTAAGGAGCGGAAGATCAACGAGGAAACTGCAGCCGCGCGCTCTGCAAGTCACAATTGGGAAATCCTTTTTAAAGTGAGATTATAGTTTGATCCACTCACTGATATAGATGAGACAGCGAAAAATAAAGGTCTTGAAACATTGTTGCTACGCACAGTGGTTACTTTTGTGCCCAAGTCGGATGAACTGGCTCTCTTGTGTGCGCTGAAAAAGGGCATTTTTTCATAATTATCTTGTATGCCACATTGCTAGGCTGTCCCTGTGTCAATAGTACCGCCTTCGTAGCTGAGTCGGCGTAGCTCAGACGAACAAATTAGTTTAGGCGTGTTCGTTTTGGTGGTCCATCTTAGTGCCATCTCTCTATACGCTTTATTTTTCTTTGTCATCAAAGCAATCCATTTTTGGGCACGTTGATTGAAAGGCATTTGTGTGGTTCCTTGCTATATTTTGTTGTTTCGAGTTGTGATGGTCAATCTGGGCTACTAATGGCTCACTCAAAGGAATTGGCCTTAGCATATAATTTTTAGACGTGCTTTTTCTTAAATATCTGTCCAACGTTTCACGAAAGTGTCTAACAAAAGATTTAATTGAATTGTACAAAAAATTCACTCGCAGGACACGACGTCCTTTGCCTTGTAAAAAAACAGTGTTGATATCAGCGGCTATGAAAACTTCCGTTTTCAATTAACATAGCGGGGCTCTCCGGGCAAAGAGATTGCTTTAGGAGAAGAGTATCTTTGTACACTGGACTGTAGACGGCCTTTTGTATACGCATTGTCAGAAGGTAATAGAGGTGTTCTCCTCATTAGAATCGCTTAAAGCGAAAGAATCTTCGAGAAGAGTGTTTTAATGAGGTTTCACAAACTAAACGCCAACAAATGCCTATTAGCGACTTCATTTCCTTCTCCATGTTGATGCAATGTTAAGAATTGGTGGGCGACCACACTATTTTATTCCCAATGCCACCTCCTGGTTATCTTAGATAATAGTCCTCTCGCAACTTTTATTGCGTTGCTATCACACAGCAGACGTTTACGTGCTGAGGAGTTAGAGATATGCACACAACTTCGAAAGCTGGTGTCTGCTGCATAAAGAAATTTATATCGGACGACTCTTATCTATTATATCGGACATCACTCTTCTGAAAAAAATTTTCAGCCAATTCTGTAATATGAAAATATAATTTGGGACGCTTTTATAAAATAAAACACTGCAAAGTTTGTGAGGTTTAAACATAAAGTTGTAAAATTAATACGTAACACACATGGGAAAACACGGGTTTTGGGTCTAGTCCAGAAAGGTGAACTTCCGTCATTGCGGAAAGAAATCGACTATGCAGATGAATTTTCAACATCAAAATATTCACGGCCAATATAAATGGTGGAGAGGTCACACCGGCTTTCTCGTGAAACAGGTGAATATAAATCTCTAGACGTGTTTATTGCGCAACAGGTTTAAAGGGTTAATGAATCGTCTATAAAACTCATGAACTCGGAGCAGCAATCTTGAGTGCTGAAACGAGTTTCAAAGCTGAGTGCTAATCCCGATATTGTATTAACAACCGAAAAAGAGGTTATAAAGCTGCATAAAAGATACCGAAGCCAAACCTCCCAATGTCATAATATTTCTCAAAGATGGGGCTTCGCATGGCGGCAGAGTTGCGATCTAGTACGAAGTGGGATTTCATGTACCCTGCTACATGAGCTCCAAGAAATTAAATGTTTATGATGTATTATTGTGTACGAGAACACGTCTCGCTACGTTGCAGCTGCCTACAGGCCTCTAAATGCTACTCGTGAGTTATTTAAAGCAAAATTATTACTACATGCATAAGAACTTTATGAGCAGTAAAATTAGAATGACTGTCATTTTCAATCTACATCTCTCTTATTGGTCTTTCAAGCAACCGCCAAGACTTCCTGTGGTGTAGATGATCTTACTAAACTATGCCTTTCTTACAACCGAGCTGAAAATGTTACCAATAATATACGCATTCCGAACTCAACACAATGATTGTTCGGTAATGTTTTCGGGTTGTGATCACTCTATAAAACAGAAATAGAGTGTTGACATGTTAAATCGAATATGCGATAATGAAATTGTCAATTACACTTTCAAAAGAAGTTTCGTAGTTTCGTTTACACCGTAGGTTTGTACAAGTCTTAATTTTAGCAGAGCAGACGACATAGGCGTACTCGATTCTTTTAACGTACAATTTGACACCTTCCATGAACTCGCCATGAACGCTCCCGCCACTATTGGCGCTCTTTGAAATGAATTTAAAGAAACGAACATTATGCTTGTATAGAAACGTTTATCCCGACTAAAGATATTCAGAAACATGCCTGAGATAATCCAAAAAATCATTCACAAAAAACCAGAAATAAATAGATTGCGCATAGTAAAAATAAAATAAAAACTCATGGGAATAAAAATTACGTGGCAGAGCTGAATACTGAACTAGGTTTTAATAACAAATCAGCTAAACATATTTTTTTTGTTTTTGTTTTTATATAACCCTTCAATCGTTCATTAAATCGTCACCTTCCGAATTCTGGAATCGTGTTGATCAAAAGCCAAGTGGAACATAAAATTACTTTCTATGAATAAAGAATATATCGCAATAACGTAAATAGATTCTTACCTTTTGTATTTCAAGCTGACAATGGTACCACACCCTCCTTCGCCTCTTGCTCAGCCTCATTCATAGGTGATGGGGTCAATGAACACTGTGTCTGGACATTTTTACTTGAACTAAATAAAAAAGGACCGGCTCCGGCAATCAGCGCAACGAATTTATACGAATAAATGCAGAATATGTTGCAAAATACATTGTTATTATTTTCAGTTGTTCACTCAGTGAAGGGGAAATTCCCAAAAAACGGAAAATCGCTTAAGCCATTCCCATATATAAATTGAACGCACTGACTACTCTTGTTGCAAAATGCTTAAGTGAATTATCTTAAAGCACATTTAAACCTTCATAGAGCAAAAGAATGTATTAACCTCACTTTATCACAGCTTCAAACGTTAATTATCGACTGTGACGCAATTAACTGAAAGCATTCGTGATTGTCAATCACGAATGATTTCTGTAATTGTTAATAGGTGTCTGGTGGATGATATTTTGTACATTTATTTAAAAAATTGACAAGGTATTCCACAAAAAAGTGATAACTAAAGCAGAAACAAATTTTCTAGGAGGTAGAACATATAAGTGGACAACAAAGTAATTTGCAAATCGATATCAGTGCGTTACAAGTAAAGCTCATCCATCATCGGAAGGGAAAGTTTCATTTTACGTTCCAAAGGGAACGGTATTGGCACCTCCTTTGTTATTGATCGTTATAAACGACACAGTTTAAAAACACTGGTGGAAAAAATCTGCCACTTTGCTGACGATGATATACTTTGTTCAGAAATTAAGAGTCAAAAATATTAAATCATCCTCAATAATGCACTACATTTCATCGCGAATCAGAGTGACGATTGGCAGACGGTATGACATTAATATAAATCTGTATTTATGATAAGAACTTCCAAAAACAGTTATTTTTTTACCATGTACACGATATCCCCCTTAATAAAATCAAAGATTATAAATACCTTGGCATAGATGTAAGTCATAAACACCACTGGGACCTGCACATTGACTCTGTGACTCATAACGTATTTCTAACGAAACTATTAGCCTATACATAGGGTTCGTTGTTTTCGGATACGTCCGAAAAACAACAAAAAAAAAGAATCATTCGCCGGTAAAATATTTGCTAATTCACATTCAACCGAAAAACACCGAATCTCAAGACCACAACAGCAAAATAAAGATAAAAAATTAAAAAAAAGTTTATTTTACATATGTATTTCTAGAGAGCACAAAGTCGGTGGTCGTGGGGAGAGGTTTCATATAAAGTTTTGGACTATTGACAGAAGTCTCTGTCCCATTTTTCTCGTCAAGTTTGTTCAGAACAGCGGATCAATGATCTGATTATAATTCAATTAAGAGCAAAGGTGCCAGCGAGCTGGACATGAATCACAAAAATAATACCTGGAGAAGGGGAACAAGAGGGACAAAGTACACGCACAGCTAGGTGACTGGTGGTCGACCAAAAAAATCTGCTTGGTCCAGGAATCGAACCCGGGACCTCTACATTTTCAATGGAGCGCTTTACCAACTGAGTTAACCAGGGGTTAGACATCAGTAGAGCGAACTTGTTTTGTCAGCTGCCACCGTCATTCATGTTCAGCTCGCTTGCACCTTCGCTTTTAATTGCATTAAAATCATAACTTTAAATTGCAAGCTTCACCCTTGTTGGTGTTAGACTGGTGCAAGCTGATAAAACCCGTTTGCTCTACTGACGTGTAACCCCTGGTTAGCTCAGTTGGTAGATCTTTTTGAACTGTGCCTTTGGTTAAAAAATAAATGCGGACAATAAAAGCAAAACTGAAATTTAAAAAAAAAACGCGTCTGCATAACGAAGGCGCTTTTGCTGCCAACGGATTTCGTCTACATGTCGTCTGTTTTCTTTCGCTGGTCGGCTGCACCTTCAGAAGCTGCTCCCGACGCCATCTAACAATATGAACGCCAAACACACCTCGCTACCGGTCTTGGTCGTCTGCGTCGCCGCCCGCCGTTCACCCTGGCTAGTTTCTTGGGCCTATTTTTTTTAGTAAAAGAGAACTACCCTTTGTAATTTTACACCAAAAAACCGACCTGTGAAATACACCTTTGACGAAAATTTTAGATTGCTACGTGCAGGCGTCGATTTTTACGGTTCATTTTAGATCAAGCTCGGCAACTTGGACCACCCTATATATGTGTATATATATATATATATATATATATATATATATATATATATATATATATATATATATATATATTGTAAATAAGAAACGACAAAGAGGTGAGGCGCCGACAGGAGCATTGTGCCCTTATTCCTTCGCTATACGTTCGGTTTAAGCAGCCGCAGCAAACGATTATTTCTTGCTCTTCCTCTCCCTCGCACAAGTATTATTTCATCTATTTATATCTCCTGTTTCGCGCTTGCCTTGTCACTATCCATTTTTTCATCGAATATTTTGAAAGTGTCGTGTTTTATGTTTTTTTGTTGTTTTTTTCAGGTTGGGCTCTCCGTGGGATATAAGTGATACCTGTCCAGAAAGCGGTAGAACCTTAATGGCCCCGACGTCTTTGAGCAGCCCGCGAGATTTATCAGAATGCACCAAAGAGGTTTTGCGTCAGCAATACAACGATAATACGTGAGTACTCCCTTCTATAAAGTTGTCAATACATTATCTAAACACAGTAGACGACTGGGAACGTAGAGCCTAGAGTGCTTACATGGATTCGTATCACATGTCAACATCGAGACATTACCCGTGCGTATTAACGTTAATTATTATTAGGTCAAGGATGCTGAAAGATTTCGTTTTATTAGAATTCCATATGAAAGTTTTCTATGAAATTTTTGGGAGCATATCTGTTTGTTTTTAGCGCGTCTAATATTGCCCAATGTTATCGCAAAACACACATACAGTACATTACAGCACAAATAAAAGAACATTTTTTATGAATTTCTTTGAAATTAATACAATATAAAGCCCACATAAGCCAATAATGGCTTGTGCTTGGGACGTGAGAGAAGCCTCTGATTTTTATTTTGCACAGATAACTAAAAACATCAGGGCACGCCAGTATAAGTATAAATTACTGCAATTCCACCTCCTCTCACAACTAATATTTATTCTTCTATCTTGAATAATATGAATGTAAAACAAGTGCAATAATAGTGATTTAGTATTTACATACTGTGAAGGACACTAGAATTCACGACTTAATGGTAATTCTAATAAATCAAGAGAAAAGAGAACGTTTTATATTATGCGTTTTCGGGGCTGCTACATCATCCATTCTTATTTCATTTTACGGGTCCTTTTTTTCCTGTTCAATTATTCATGTTTTTGCCGGTTTGTTTATTCTGGGGATTTTATTTTATGTAATTTCTTAAAACGTTTAGGTACGTAATGTTTTTTTGAGGCCTCCCAATATTTTGTCCTTATAACTTGTTCAACAATTTTCATATCCAGTTTTAATGTCTTTTTTTTAATTTCCTGACTATGTTTGTTGTTGACAAAATGTTTTATAATAATATTATGCTTCATTAGATCACTGAAGGATTCCTAGTTATTAAGCATACACTTTGAGAGATCAATTTCTTATTTTCGCTAACCAATACTCCTCACTATCTTTTTAGAGCGCAGTTCTTAAGCACCCGTTTCCGGCATGACCGGCGTCGTTGGCGTCGCCGTCGGCGTCAAGTAAACGCGCGTTCCGTTGTGGGATGGTTCCCAGAATAACGTCACGTGTGGCGTCAGGAGGATTAAATGTTTCCTCTTAACTTAGCGGGAACGATTTTCTTCGAAATTTCGTGGAAAATACTTCCCGCAAAATGTAGCGGGGAACTTGTACCCTCTTGGCGTCACAAGATGATGTTGCACGATGATGCCACACGATGACGTCACATGTGACATTACAATGGTACAATTTTCACGCTAAATTTGGCAAGAAATTTTTGCCCTCGTGACGCCACTCGTCATCGTGACGTGTGACGTTCCGATGACGAGTATTTTTTGTTGTTGTATTAGAGCCCAGCTTTAAAGCGCTCCTGGTTGAACGGCGTCGGCGTCTGAGTTGGGACGTATCCCATAAGGACGTCACACGTGACGTCAGGTGTAACGTCACGAGGGTAATCTTTTTCCGCTAAATTTATCGGGAAGATGTTTATAAGTTTGCCTCTAAACTTAGCGTGAATATTTCCCCGCTATAACTAGATGAGACATTTTCGCTTAATTTAGCGTGAAATTTAGCGAACATTTCCCACTAAGTGGGAGGGGAGCAGGAAAGGAGGAGCGGAGGGTACGAAGGGGGAGCAAGGGCGTGCCCTTCCCTACGTACCCTCCGCTTCTCTTCTTGAACAGCTGCGTGCTAATTTCGGCATTACAGAGAATTGTAAACGTCTGTACATTTCTTGCTGAATTTTTTTATATAGTCATCTTCAAAATGTGTAGGGAACGTTACCAGAAAAAGATTTCGCTCAAACATAATATTTAAAGAGAAATCAAAATTTAGCGCGCCAGGTAGGCATATTCGATTTTTCACATTCCCCTTTAGGTTATGTTTGGGGACACCTACTACGCAAACTACAAATGTGTGAAACATCACATACTTTCCACTTTTAATGCATCATGCCAACTATTCATTTAAGTTTACACAGCATTTTAAAGGCTATATGTTTTGCTACAAAAATGAGCAAACTCTGCTCTTTTGACGTTTCGTCGCTATATGTCTTAGCTGTTATTTTAAAAAAGTTAAATAAATACAACATTTAAACTTAAGTTACATATTCTTATTAAAACATTATTTTCAATGATATATAAAAGATCGCTTTATGTCAAATATTGAATTTTTTTATGTCGCTCCAAAGTTGTCCTAAAATACAAGTTATGAAACTCAAAAAAGGAAATAAAAAACATATTTCATCATTCTGTTTCCTTCAAATTTACAGCCTTCCAAAGTCACCTTCCACGCCGTCATTTCCGCCCAAAGCCATAGTAGCGATTATCCTTTTTTCTGTGTATATTCATTTCATTCAATTTATTTAATTTATTTAATCTTAAAGGCCCAGTGAGCACATTAGATAAGGGTTAGCTTATTGACATGAAACAACAAAAAAACGCACTAATAACGATAATACAAAGAAAGAAAAAATAAGTGCAGTAAAAGTTATACAGAATATAAAACAACAAAATAATACTCACATAAGATGGGTTTGAAAAGCATTTAGGAACGCAGTAGAGTCGTTAATGGTAGCTACAGATGATGGCAAGTGGTTCATTTGTAAATGGCGAGAGGAAGAAAGTATTCAATAAGAGCATTGGTCTTACCAAAAACTCATTTGATAGTCCATGGTAATAAAACCCGAGACTCAGGGACACAGAAGGGGACGAACACAACAGAACGTCTCAAAACGTCTCAACGGGTTTTATTACCATGAATCATCACCAGCTCGCTTCTTTTTTAAGTATTATTTCATTTGATAGCACAGGCGTTACTGAGGCGATGCGATATTTTTTTTGCGGGGAGACAGCAGTGAGTCCTTGATGTCTGAGTTATTACTAGATATAGTTTTGGGCTGTATTCGGCTACCAGGCTGAGGTGCAAGTATTCTACTAATTGAAACAATTCGCGCGCTGCTTTTTTTTTTTATTAATTTAACCAATAATCCTATAAAATTATGGTTCTAGGAGCTTTAGCTGAACATTTTCCACAAAGGCGGGACGGAACCGATTGTAATTGCTACTGAAACATTTTTGTTTACGAAAAGTAGTATAAAAGTAAGTACAGCTGTGAAAAGTATATGCGAATATCTATACCTAAATTTGCGATGAAGTGGGAATGTTGGAGCCGCTTCTTACACTGCTATTCATAACGGTTGTACCACCGGCTGACTAAGGTAAACCTGCGACTTCACTGGCGGATTTTCAATAAGAAATCCGGAAACATTAAAATATATTTAAGTATTGATCCCAATAGAAGAAATTAAAAAAGAAGGAGCAGAAATGCCGAGCGCTCTAGCTGTGTACGTTGGCAGAAGGAGTCCGTCTTTTGTTCCTATTCAAACCAGACTAACGAATTTCGCGAATTTCTAACGAGTGCTAGAAAATCGGTCAACTACGAATGTGGCTACAAATAGGAAATGCACGAACTGGAGGATCTTTCTTGATTCCCTTTGGAGAAACGACATTCAGATCTTCCGCACTGTAAAAATGTATCTGTTTTTGTTTCTTTTCTTTGTATTTACTAATATAGTCCCCACAGAATGCACTACAGGCGCTGCAAGTCGTTGCCATGGCTGAAGACGTTCTGCCATGACGCCACTGCCTGCGACTAACGGCCACTTCGTTTTTTTTTTTTTTTTTTTTATGAGCGCAGTGCGCGTGTTTCTTGACTCACGATCACTGGGCTCAGTGACTTCGCGAAAGGATGTCAGGAGTAAGAAAGAAGGAAATATAATGAGTTATCAGCTCTTTGAAGCAACGTACAGAGTAAGTCTAAGCATGCGGCAATCAGTTCCTCCGAAAAGCAAAGTCCACCAGGAGAAAACAGGCAATAATTGCGTGTGCACTGCGGTCCACGCTGCGTCCGGTTCCCTAAAGCTTCTCTTCGGGCTCAAAAGGGGTCCACCGCCACCTTGTGAGATTCGCTGCCTTTCTCATTTAGCGCTGATTTGGTCGTTTCCGCTACTATTGCGCTCGTCGCCTTAGGACTCGCTGTATTTCCCTTTTGACCCCGGTGTTGGCTCGTGGGGACGATATCCCAGGGTGTCCCGAAAAAATATTTACAAGGTATTTTTTTCACCGCAAAAATTAACTACTATTCGACGAACGCTCATTCTCCGAGAGCGCTAGATGTCCGCCTCAGATGCCGAAGTTCCAGCCAGAACCGATATCTTATTCAGAAAATATAAGGGATTATCTTAAAATTTCAATGGGAAAACGGGGCCCATTTTTGCCCGTTTTCGTTTTCTGGCGCCAAAGAGCTCCATGTATTTTGAGGGTTTCGTCGGCCACCATTTTCCTACTGAAATTTTCAGAAAAACCCTTGTAATGTTTGGATTACATATCGGTTCGGGCTGAAACTTTGGCATCTAGTTCGCGCATCTAACACAATCTTCGGGAGGAGAATGAACGCTTAGCGATGCGCAGTTTAATTTGCGGTGAAAAAGCCCTGTAAATGTTCTTTGGGGGACACCCTGTATATTGATAAATGTGTTGCTTACCGCCGGTGCCGCCAGTGAGTCAAAGCTATAGCACGTCCCTCGACAAACTGCGTGCACATTGAGACAGGGTTACAACGAATGCCCTTCGAACCTCGTGACTCTGAAATTGGTTTCATTGGTGGTCATGTCGATAGGCTTGGCGGCTTTGCTTTGCTTTCCGATCTGACACGTCGAACGATGCAAGGCGAGCAAACAACTCCCGCATCGGTAGACCGCCATTCTATAAATATCCCGACAACTTGATTACCGACTGTCTTGCCCTGATAAATTCAGGCCTAGTTTTGTCCTCCGTTTCAAGAGGAGCTCGCTGCCACGTACCTAAACTAGGGCAATCAGAGAGCCGGAGTTGGACTTACTCCACACGGACTCTCGAATTCTCCTCCCCTAAACCTGCGGCTTTGAGACGGCGTCAGTCAGTTCGTGCATTCATCATTGGGCACATTTGACTCGCCTTCGTCGGGATCATTGCAATACATGTGAGTGCTTCAAAGAACTCGTCAGTCTGGTTTTAAGAGGGGCGAAAAAACGGACTTTTCAAGACACCCTTATGCTAACGCGGGCATGCGCTCGATATGTTTACTCTTTTTTTTTTTTTGTTCTTGCATTTTAATTTTCTTTTTACTTTATTAGAATAAATTATAAATATTTTTTTTCTTCTTAACGGACGTCTTAGTGAAAGTCTGCCCGTGAAAGAGTCAAAGGCTTATTTTTGCCAGCCGGACCTACGACCGTCATGAATAGCAGTTTAACAAGATCTGTGCCTCTAAAATCCCCACTTCATCACGGATATGGATATAAATATTTGCATATAAGTTGCACCGCTGTTCTTACTTTTCTGGGACTTTCTGTAAAAAAGATGGAGTTGTAGCGATTAAAAGTGGAAAAACTTCGGCTAGAGCTCCTAGAACATGTAAATTTAAAGGCCAAAACCAGGTTATTGGTTAAACAAATGCAAAGAACGAGACACGCGGCTATTGTTTAATTAGTAGAATACATCACTGTGACCCAATCCCGGAATGCAGCACAATCTTATTAGTCATAAGAGACAAGGAAGAAATAATCCCGTCTTTGGCATTAGGCAAAAACACACACATATGGAAGGTACAATTCGCAGTGCTTTAAGTTTGAAGGAAACAAAATGATGCAACATTTTTTTTATGAATAAACAGAATAGTATGGTGGACATCTATCACTATAAATTAAAAAAAATCGATTATAGATTTTTGTTTTTCAAACACCCCTTGAATTTTCTTAGCTTTATACCTTAAAACAAGTTTCGAGCAGCATAAAAGGTTAAATTTTTTAGATAAATTACTTATTTATATTTTATTTGAAAGAATGTTTTCAGGAGAATTGATGGCATAATTGCTAATGTTGTGGCTCTTCAATTTTGTTTAGATAACGGTTCAGAAATCTAGGGGCAAAGCGACAAAGGGGTCATATTTGCGCATTTTTAGCGCAAAGTATATACTCGCCACAATACTCTACACATCTAAATCAATAGTTTCCTTGATTTATTGTAAGTGAGAACTGTTTGAGATTCATCATAGTTGTAGTTTGCGTAGTATGTATCACCAAACTTGACATAAACAAAAACTTCAAAAGTCAAATATGCCTCTCTGGCGCTCACAATTTTTTTTTCTCTTTATTTTTTTTCTTGCATTCTTTTTCGGAAGCTTTTTATTACTTTTCCTACACATGTTGTGTGGGAAAGTAATAAAAGAAGTTAGTAAAAAAATATGGATGATTAGCGCTGTCATTGTGTATAGGCAAAACTTGACTATAATATACGCCTATTTTATTGTGGAACCTCCAACTTGTAGATAATTGAAAGGTAGCGTAATGTGTTGCTTAAAATGCAGTGTGTGGCATTACGCAAATGTTCTAAGTGTATTTGTTCCAACTATTTAGAATAAAAGACGTCTGTTGGAAAAAGACCCTGAAGCCCGATGCTTCGTCCAATTGGAGCCTTCCAGTGACATACTTCCAAACAGAGGACTACTGTTCTACTCGAGATTCACACAGAGGTTTCAAATGTCCTGTGAGTACAAGCCTGCCCTGGCAGGCGTATATATGTTACAGAAAGACTTAAATATTTGAACCAATAAATTTCTAAATATTGGACATTGCAGGAGGGCAATAGATATCACGTTGCGAACGCTACAGAATGTTTCATGGGTTGTTGCGTAAACAATACCAAGGAAGCGAGTGGTTTCAAATATTCTGTGCCGGATGGCACTCCATGTGGAGAAAACAAGGTATGTACGCCGGCACCTGAAAGGTTTACCTTGAATTCAGAACACGTTAGTCGATTACAAACGTAGATTAGAATGGAAAGTTGGGCTAGTTGGTATGAATCCATATTGCAAAACAGCCATTAACCTAGAGGAAAGTGAGATAGTTTTTGTTTTGGACATGGATTAACCAGAGAATTGAAGATCGACATTGAAGATCGAAGAAAGAAGAAAGGAGAAAGTAGACGCGATTACTTATACCTGTGCCGGTGTGCTTTAATGTGCTGGTGTGTTTTAATTTGGTTAGATTTATAATGTTGCGCGCTTAATGGCGAATGACTGGAAGAGGAAAAAGAAGACGCCGTTATCGTGTAAATTTCTCTGGATGTCTTCTGAATAGATAGTTGATAGTCAGCACCTCGTCCTGTGTGTTTTCTCCTCCTTGTCCGTGTGTTATTCGCGCTGTTTTACAATGCAGATAGGAAATTATTTACAAACGTATCAAAGCACGTCAAACCTTCTGAATACGAACAACCAAAGTTATAAAAGCGATCAGGGATCACTCTAAAAAGTGAAAGCCGTTTACAACTTCCTGTAACGCCGAATTGGAGCGCAGCTCTTGAGGAGGAGGAGTGGAGGGTATATTCCTCCTCCTCCCTCGTGATCATGCCTGCTAGTCCTTCTCCCCTCCTGCTCCCCCTCCCTCTCTTCCGAGTACTTGTGTAGCTTGTTTCTTGAAAATAAGTCACATGACTTCAGCGGGGGGTCACGTGACCCCCCCGGACCATACTAGACGATGAGGGGAGGAGGAGGAGGGGGAGGAGGAGGAGGGCAGAGGTCCGGGGGGTCACGTGACCTCGAGGGGACGGGATCACATGACCTTGGGCGGGCCGTCACGTGACTTCGGCGGGGGGAGGGGAGTCACCCCCCGGGGTCACGTGACCTTGGCGGGGGAGGGGGGGAGGAGGAGGAGCGGAGGGGGAGAAGGAGGGGGAGGGGCGACGCCGACGCCGACGCCGCACAGGCTGGAAACGGGTCATGTGACCCCCTCCCCCCGAGGTCACGTGACCTGCCCGGACCATACTACACAATGAGGGGAGGAGGAGGAGAAGGAGGGGGAGGAGGAGGGGGGAGGAGGAGGAGGGGAGGAGGGGGAGGAGGAGGAGAGGGAGGGGCGCGGTTACGCCGACGCCGACGGCGACGGCGACGCCGACGGCGACGCCGACGCCGCTCAGGCCGGAAACGGGCCCCTAAGAGCTGCGCTCTAAAAGAAGGTGTAACCATTACATCCCTTGTCACATACAATACACCCCAAAACTTCAGTTCGACCAGCACCGCATTGACGTCGAACAAACGGCCCCACCTTTTACAAGAGGCTTGATGATGGTGCGATCTATCATATTAAACAGCCAAAATACTAATCAAAGAGAACAGAAAAAAATGAGATTTTTGCAGTAGGGCCCGGAAAAACCCCTTAATTTTTTCGCGTGCAGTGACACGTACATTACTTATTTTGATAAATTGTGCAACTCCGCTATCAAGCCGATCGTGAAAGTTGGTACCGCCGGTTCAACGTTAGTGCGCTGCACGTCGAACTAAAGGTTTGGGGTGTATTACATGTGACAAGTGGTGTAAGAATATATCCTTTTTTTATGTGTGCATATATTAACTATGCTTCTTTGAATTGAAAGAAATCTATTTTTCACATGATAGCTTCCACGAAACTTTTGAGGACTTTAGAACACGATATTACAATTGACATCCCTTGCACATGACCTCCAGCAGGGTTTTCTTCTCTATAACTTAGGAAGAAATACAAACAAGACCTGCGAGAGTTAAGTTTCGCCTAATTAATCACGAGACCATACTAAATCAGTATATGGTTCACGCAAAAATCACTTACATCGATTCCTCCTGGTTCCTTTAGAAAGGTTAAATGGTCAACAGGTTTAAGCAGCATTTTCGCAACGTTTCAAGATCACATCAAATGTCTGAGTCTAAACTATTACTGCTGATTGTAGTTACTACAAGCCTCAGTTTGTTTGGGGCACCATTAAAAGCTTCGGAACTATCACATAGTTCGGTTTTAGTGCTGACAAAAGAGGGGCGCGTTGGGTCTGTACAATGCTTACTGTGTACAATCACTCGTGCATTAGAAATATCAGTTAAAAACCACGCTCTCGCGCGCTTCACTTTGCCAGGTTTAAAGGCAACTAGTGAAATAAAGTATGATTACTTTTCCAAGAGTGTAATTATGACTGATTCATTATACGCACGTGTTCAAACTCTTTAACACTGCGAATATTGTTATACTTTTCAATTGGTGTGATGTAGATTTTTAAATAGTTTACAAGAACACAAATCATTGCGACTGTTCAGAAAGATGATTCAGCAATCATCTCAATAGACCGTACTTGCAAGTTTGTAATCTCAATAAATGTTTTTTTGTGGTTTTTAGACGTAAAACGCAAAGTGTGAAAGACACCATTGAAGTAATGCTTCTATTACTACAAAAGCCATTCCCGCCATCTTGTTCAGTGTGGGATAGCAGAGTTTAAGAATTTGGCGTTTACCGATGCTGCAGATTAACATGCGTGATTCCACTAATGTGGTTGCTACTTTCTCACTTTCATTGACTGTACCACAGATATGGAATTGAAAAAAAAAAAGTTCATACATGCCAGACAATAATTAGTCATATTTTAGGCGAGCTTGAAACTTAATTTAAGCTTGTAAGGCCCTCATATTGCATAGGAACCGGCGCTTTTATTGGTCCTATTTAATTCTTCCTAAACTATCTGTTGTCCTTGAATTTAAGCGGTACGCCGTTTGTCAATACCTACAAGAAATAATTATCTACCGCCTATATATAATTCGTATATTCGATTTGTTGGATAGATTACTATGCGATAGGATGTGCGCCAGGAATGTAGTCAAAATAAATAAAAATAGGCACGGCTGCAGCCAATAGCCAGCTCAGAACTGATTGCCACAAAATGAGGTTTCCATACAAAAAACTCATATAATCGAGTTTCATAGTTTCTTCAGGAATGGTTGCCAATTGACTGAAACCTGCCTTGAATATGAAAATTATAAGTTCCTGGTCTGTCAATGTCACATTTGAGGTGAGATAGTTAGACAGCGTGAAGCTAATCTACAAAAAGATTATGGCTGCATTATTACACGCTGTAGATGACAATAGCCGGTAAGACGTAAAAACGCCTGCCTAGGGTGTCTGACGTGCACTACACAAAGGTTGCTACACGAACTCACGCTGATGCTCCTCCATGCTCAAGCGGGTAAAGGGGGAAGGGGGGGGGGGGAGAGAGGGAGAGAGAGAATTCTGCAGCACGAGCTATCGCTTCACTTGCTCCAAGCTGCAGTTGGGTAAAACTCTCCATTTTTTTTTCTGCACAAGGTAGATGAGCTGTTATACTGGTGCAAATATAAAGTGTGTAAATATACAAACTCACATCGGTGTTACTCTCCAGCATTAAATCATAGAAGCCCGGAAAATGCTAATCCTGACAAAGCACATGAATTTCTAGTCAGATTTATTGGCCCACTCTTCAAGTCTGCATTCGTAGTGTTGCAGAAAGACAAGTGATTGCGCAGGCGAGCTGATGAGCAAATATACTGAAAACACCGGGAGACAAGGGATGACAAAAAAAAAGAAGGTCAAACACAACACCGTTTTTATTTAAAAATTTTGTTCCTTTTGTCCACTTCTGTGTGTCCCGGCGTCTCCGGAGTTTTTCAGTGTGATTTCTATTATGAAGCTCAATTCATGCTTCAAAAATGTTTTATATGAAATGATGCCTTTTATACCGAAGGTTCTGCATTGCTTTTACCGTCATATCCACAATAAAAACTGACGTCAAGAAACAAAATACGAAGGAAATCGAAGCTTGTATACATAATTTTAAATGAGAACCTTACGCAAGCCTCAGATTCAGAGTGGTAGTCCACGTTTCGTTAATTGTTTTTAAAATTTACTAGTTTTCAACCTGATGCGCAGGGAGCTTCTTTCTTAAAAACGGAATACATTCGATTTCAAAGCCAAAACTGATTAATTACGTCGGAGTGCCGTAACTGCAGCTTTGCGATAATTACTTCAGTGCTACATGCGTCTCTTCGCTTAAGCTAAATCCTAATGAGTTAAGCACACTTTACCATTGCCATCAGTTTCACTAGTCTTCTTTCCTACATGCGGCTATGTTCCCACCCGTAGTGGCTTTCAGAATTTTTTTTTCTATTTACACAATTTAGAAGCTTTATAAAAGTGTTCTAGTCTATTTTTTCCGCGCCTCCGGCAAGCCGAATTGAGCTGAGTATCACACAACAATTATTTGTTTTTGTTTTTTATTGCGTCGTCAGTGCGTCGTCCTCATGATTTACAGTTCGCAGTTTCAAAAATAAATTTAGAACGAATACGTTAGTATATGCTCAAAATGTTTTTACAGGTTTTATGTTTAGTGAATACCGAAAGCATACTCTTAGCACTGATAATTTGAACACGAAAAGCTGTGTTGTGTTTTTTTTTTTTAAGTTAGAAGGAAAGTACGCTAAATACAGCCAATGCACGGATCTTGGCTGCAGTGCTACTACGCGAGTAATTAAGGGCCTGGTTTATGGTGCAACTGGTTGAAGTAACCAACGGTAGAAAGAGGTCCTCTTAAACATGACAACTGCGGCAACACACCATCAACGACTGTACGGCGGACCAGAAGGGAAAGTCTCAGTCGCGTGGGCAAGATTGGTCCACGATTCAGCCTGCAGGGAACAGTATCATCAGCAAATCGACAGCAGTGTCACCCTGCCCTCGTACGCAGCAGGCGAGAGTATGCGGTCGAAAGTGAAAGGACCAGTGCAGCTCACAGTAGCCGATATTAGTTGTGGCGCTGCTGTAGACTCGAAGATGGCGCTCCGCTAAGTTGAATCCCAGGACCATTCTCGCTCGTTGGGTAATACGAAACACTCTCACACATGCGCCATTCAGCTTAGAATTTCGACAGGCTACAAATCCGTAACTGAAATTAACGCGTGAATTAAATATTAGTAGCTCGATTTCAAAATATGTTGTGGCTGTTATATTTTAGAGAACCAAATGTCGCTTCGCGCTACGTATTTATATACAAATTGAAATTGCCAATGCCCGATATTGGCGTCAAGAGTCTTCGGTGGCGCTCTCTTATGACCCATACCCGTGGCACGTCTCAACTACGATTTTTATTTGCAAACGCGAAGTTCCGTGGTGTGAGTAAAAAACTTGAAGTAAACTTAGGTTCATCGGGTTCTAACACGAACACCGTAATGTCACGAGTTCCTCGTGCACGCTGCCAGTAAAAAAACTAAGACACATGAAAGAAGATCGCTGAATGAAAAGACGTCAGTAATGTGGAAAAGTGCTTATAATCACATCCAGTAATTCCTGAAGAACACAGGAGGACAGCCATAATCACACCGTCAAAATTGCCCACGTAACGAACTCGCCAACATTAATAAAACGATTTGCAACATTAGAAAGCTCAGGAGCTTCTTCGTCAGATGAATAAAGGCATGATGACTACATCAACGATAGCCGCTTCGCACGGTAAAATATTATATCGCCATGTCCCTTTCGTATACAGCCTTGTGGTTTAAATAGAGTAACTATAATTACCAACTTTTTTTTCAGATCTGTATTTATGCGGAATGTTCAGAATTTTCCAAGGAAAACAGCGACTAGCAACATTCAACATAAAACGTTTGATGAAGAAACGCTTATTATTCCCAATTAAAAATATTTCTTCGGGAAAAACAAAAAACATCTATATAAAGTGCTCCTGTAACCTCTCTGGAAATAAATAAAGGCCGCCCAAGAGGAGCAAGGATCACATACCGTGCTCATTTAAAAACAAAAGCAAAAAAACAACATGTATATGCTACGCCAAATGTGCATATTATATTGCGCACAAAATCATGCCCGCTTCACATTTTTGTAAGATCTAATGCTAAAAACACGATATTCACCGCCACGAGCAACCCCGCTACTCTAGCATAAAAGTCATAAATCAAAAATGACGAAATTATGAGGATAAAAACAAATAAACTTTTGATGAGGCGAATTCCGGCCTGCATAAATTAACGAACAATGGGCGTTTAGTATGCAGAGCAGACGGGCTCTCTCGACAATTGCAAGAGTCTTTGCGCAGCCACTTCAGGGCTGATAAGTTTTGGAGGTTTGCACACTCTCTCTCTAGAACGTGGTTCGCGGTGGAGTAGGATTGAGTGGGCTGTGCCAACACCTCCTAGACAGCTTTTAAGCTCGCGCGTTACGTCACACGACGTCACGTCCGGGGTCCCGCACGGGCGCTGATTGGATGCGAGTGCCGCGTCTGCGTTCGCGTGTGACTATGATAGGAAACGAACCCCACGCGAACGCTAACGCGGCACTCGCACCTGATCGGCGCCCGCGCGAGACCCCCGGACGTGACGTCATGTGACGTGGTGCGCAGGCTTTGCTGTCTAGGAGGTGTTAGCTGTGCTCGCTTGTAACCGCTTGCGACGGAAGGTCTGTCAGATAGACCTGGAAACTATTTCGGTTTTCGTCTTTAATTTCTAGTTTGTTTTAAACAATCATACATTTACACGAAGCATAAAATAATTCTGACAATGTTAAAGCTGTGATAATATAATTAATAGAAAGGTGCAAGCGAGCCGGACAAGATTGGGAAAAATAATCCCTGCCGAAGGGGAACAAGGGGGACAAAGGACGAACGCAAATCTCCAAATTCACCAAAGTGACTGGTGCGCGACCAATTTGTGTTTGTCCTTTGTCCCCCTTGTTTTCCTTCTCAAGGGAGTTCTTTCGCCATTCTTGTCCAGCTCGCTTGCACCTTTGCATTAATGGCATTATCATCAGTGCCTTAAATGCAGGTCGTTCATCCTTGTTTGTGTTAGAATGCTGGTGGCTGATAAAACCCGCTTGCTTCACTGACATCTAAGTCCCCGCTACCTTAGTTTGTTGAGCGTTTCGCTGGAAATAAAGAGGTCTCTGGTTCGATACCAAGACCGAGCTGAGTTTTTCGGTCGCTCACCTGTCACCTACCTATGTTTATAAATTTGCCTTTCTCCTTTGTCCACCCTGTGCCCCTTCTCCAGGGATTACTTTCACGAACGTTAAAGCGACTATTTCTACAAATGGTGCTCAGGTTTGATCTCGCGAACACTGCGATGCTTTATAAACAGAATTTGAAGTGTTCCAAAGGTAATAGATAGGCAACGCCAGCGTGACAGATGGTTCTTTTCTTGTAATTTGTTACAACAATCAAGCACATTTAATCCCACTTAAATTCAAATGTGTGAACCAGTCCTGTAGTTCGGTACAGAGCAAAAATTAGCAAACGAAATTTTCCGGTAGAGGCGAAGGGGGTCCGGAAAAAATGGTCCAGGAAAAAATTGGTCCCAGCCAAGATCGCTCCTCAGTGAGTGGCTCCCCAAAATATAGTTACAAGTGCAAGCCTGGAAAAACCGGTTTCCGTTAAATTGTGCGACACAGTTTACTCTCTCCTCAACGATACGACATATTCTTTCTATGCAACTTGAACGTTCAGAAAATAAACTGTTTGATATAAAGTTCTTTAGTTATTTTCAAGTTATATATTGTATGGGTGTTTTTGGACACAGCGCCATCTTCACCATCATCTTCATTAATGGAACGTGCACTGCCCCACGGAAAGTGCCAATGGCAGTTGAGCTAGTTGAGCTCTCGACCTGGGAAAGTAAAGATCACGCTCAGCAGCCTTCGTCTTCTTCACATTGTCACTAATTACAGACGATGACACAGGAAGAAACAGAATTAAATAAAAACATTTATATGGGCGACCTTGTGCCAGAAACCAAAAAGAAGAACACACGTCGCGAAAACATCAGCGAGCGTCGACGGCGGCAACAGCAAGCGACGGTGCGTCTGCGTAGCAGCTGGCAATTTCAAAAGAAAATCAGTGAATGAATTGGGAAAACGGCCGCTCGGTTTTTATCTACTATGCTTGTCCATCTCGAATAACATGTTCGAGAAAGAGCTAGGGCGAGATAAACTGGGCAAAGTCATCTGACGTCATCGTCTTTTACGCTCGAGGTAAGTGTATACATGAATCTTCTAGGTGAGCGGAGAAGTGCATCTTCTCGATCATGAACGCGGCATTACTCCATCCTTTAAAAGCGCATCGCACCGATGCAACACAAAAGAAAACAAAATAATGATAAGCTAAAAGTGTCCTCTCAGACACGAAAAGTCCACAGTCCTACCAAACGTAGTACGGCTTGAGTGGAACTAAGTGAACTACCTCTGGTCTTGGTCGGCGTCGTGATGATGCTTGCATTCCGTCGGGCACCACTTCTTAGTTGAGCCCCCTGAGGCGACGAAGTACCCTGTACGGTCCGAAGTGCCGCTTCAACGGTTTTTCGCAGACGCCACGGCGACAAGTTGGTGTCCACACCCACACCCTGCCTCCGGGCTGGAAGTGAACATCTGGAAAACTAACGTTGAAGCGGCCAGCGTCGACACGCTCCTGGTCCTGAATCCGGAGACAGGCGAGCTGGCGGACTTCTTCGGCCCGTTGAGCAACCACCTGAGCATCGTCGCTTCAATCATAAGCTAGCTTGTGGGGAAGCATCGCGTACTGCACGGTCGTTAGTTCCCGTACATGTACCAGCTGGAAAGGTGTAACTCAAGTGGTATCTTGAAGTCCGGTATTCCAGCAGAACGTGACGCAGGGTTAGACCTCGTCCCACTTCTTGTGCTCAGCATCGAACTATATGGCGATCATGTCGGCGATGGTCTTGTTTAGCAGTTCCGTCAGCCCGTTCGTCTGCCGGTGATACGCCGACGTTTGACGATGGCTGGTGAGGCAGAGCCGGAGAATCTAAGTGAGCCAAAAACGACGACCCTCGATCTGTAATCAGTACTTTGGGGGAGCGTGCCTCAGGACGATGGCCTTGACGAAGAACCTTGCAACCTCCACAGCGATTCCCGACGGGAGTCCTTTTGTCTCCGCGCACTTTGTGAGGGAATCGGTCGCGACGATGATCCCCCGCTTTTCTTGCATCGATGATGGGAACGGTCCAAGCAACTCCATTCCGATCTGCTGAAACGGCGGAGTTGGGGGAGTGATCGGCTGCAGGAGTCCTGGCGGCTTCGTCGGTTGTCTCTTGCGTCATTGGCATTCGCGACACGAGCCGACTTAGCCTGGGCCAGTAGTCTTTCTTTTTCGCGAATCCGTGCAAGTGTCTGTGTAGCCAAGGTACCCCGCCGTCGTATTGTCATAGCACGGTTGGAAGATTTCGGCACGAAGACTCGCAGGGATAACCAGCAGCCACGTGAAGTTGGTGCCGCCGGAGTTTTCTATGTACAGTGAACTTTCTCGAACAGCGAAGATTGTCAGGGATCGGGAAAAGACATGTGGAACCACACTCCGACGTCCCTCTAGATGCTCGATGAGTGCACGCTGCTCAAGATCGTCTCGTTGCAGTGCTGCGATGTTGTTCACGGTCACCACGCCGACAAAAATGCCGTCATCGTAGCTGTAGTCGGTGCGCTAAGACGCCAACTTGACTGTTACCCTCGACACAAAATCCGCGTAAAATTCTTGAAGTCGAAGACTCCACCGTGCGAGACGTCATGAGGTACCCTTCAGGTTTGCGAGCGAACAAAGCGAGTGGTGGTCTGTGACCACCCGGAACGGGCTTCCGTACAGGTACGAGCGGAATTTCATGATGGTCCAGACGACGGCAAGACATTCTTTCTCGGTCGTTGAGTCATTTCCGCGTTCGACAACGTCCGACTAGCGTAGGCGATAACGCCCTCTGTGCCCTCTTGTCGTTGGACCAGTACCGCGCCCAGTCCTGTACTGCAGGCGTTCGTGTAAATTACTGCTTCGGCCGACTGGTCGAAGTGGCCAAGATTCGGTGGTGACTGCAGTAGTCGCTTTAGATCGTCAAATGCCAGTTGTTCGTCCTCCCAGTTTAAATTCACGGCGTCTTTCGTAAGATGTGTGAGAGGCGCAAACATTTTGGTGAAACCCGGTAGTATGCGCGAAGTCCAATCTTCGGACGGTCTTCTTGTCTGTTGGTGGTGGAACAGTCCGCTACGGCACGAGTCTTCTCAGGGACAGGATGAACACTTTCGTTGGTCGGAACGTGACCTAGGAACTTCACTTGGCCGTAGGCGAGCAGGCACTTCGTCGGCTTGCGGGGGACTCCGGCGGTCCTGATTGCTGGAAGAACGGCCGGAAGATGTCGCAAGTGCTGGTCGAAGTTGGCTGACAATACCACGACTCCGTCGAGGTAAACGAGACAGCTCTGCCATTTTAGGCCTCCCAGTATAGTATTCATGAAACACGGGGAGGTCGCCGGTGCCGTGCACAGTTGGAAGGGCATCACCTTGAACTTGTACAGTTCATCGGGTGTGACGAAGGCAGTCGTCTCTCATCCCGTTCGTCGACTTCGGGTTGCCAGCAGACACTCTTCAGGTCCACCGAAAAGAAGTATCGGGAGTGGGGCAGCCGGTCCAGTATGTCGTCGGTGCGGGGGAGCGGATACACGTCTCTCTTGGTCACCGCGCTGAGCCGCCGGTAGTCTACGCAGAATGGAAGCGTTAGGTGTTTATTCTTCACCAGTACAACTGGAAAGGTCACGGGTTACTTGAAGGCTAGATGACGTTGTCGTTGATCATTTATTGCACTTGTT